CCAATGTAAGGAGGCAAATTCTCATTTACCGAGATTTAAGTAGGCATTTCTCAAATAATCACCATTGTAAAAGACCACTTTACTACTCACCACCAATTTAAAAGGGTCCTTCTAAGATGACCACCAATGTAAGAGAGTGCTTCTCTACTGGAGGGGTTCTTCTCCATTTCTCCACTGACAACCAATGTAAGAGGCAAATTCTTATTGACCACCTATGTAAGGGAGCACTTCTCCATTGACCATTGATTAAAGGGGGTCCTTCTACACTGACCACCAATGTAAGAGGCAATTTCCCACTGACCACCAATGTAAGTGTGCACTTCTCCACTGAAGGGGTTCTTCTCCATTTCTCCACTGCCAACCAATGTAAGAGGCAAATTCTTATTGACCACCAATGTAAGGGAGCACTTCTCTATTTACCATGGATTGAAGGGGGTCCTTCTACACTGACCACCAATGTAGGAAGCAATTTTCCACTGACCACCAATGTAAGTGTGCACTTCTCCACTGGAGGGGGTCTTCTCCATTTCTTCACGGACAACTAATGTAAAAGGCAAATTCTCATTGACCACTAATGTAAGGGAGCACTTCACTGACCATTGATAGAAGGGGGTCCTTCTACACTGACCACCAATGTAAGTGTGCACTTCTCCACTGGAGGGGTTCTTCTCCATTTCTCCACTGACAACCAATGTAAGAGGCAAATTCTTATTAACCACCAATGTAAGGAAGCACTCCTCCACTGATCACCGATTGAAGGGGGTCCTTCTACACTGACCACCAATCTAAGGAAGCAATTTCTCCATTGACCATCAACTTGGGGGGGGGGGGGTTAGTCTACACTGACCACCAATGTTAAGGGGCAGCTTCTGGGACTGACCACCAATGTAAGGGAGCAGTTCTCTGCTGGAGGGATCCTTTTCCACTAACCAGTGTAGGGGGCGATTTCTCATTGACCACCAATGTAGGGGAGCACTTCTACACTGACCATGAAGTAAGGGAACTCTTCTCCACCGACTACCAAGGTAATGGGGCATTTCTCAACTGACCAGTAATGTAAGGGGGGCGGTTTTGATTTGGCCAGATAAGATCAAAATTGAACTTTTTGGCCTAAAATCAAAATTCTACGTGTGGCGGAAAACTAACACTGTACATCACCCTGAACACACCATCCCCACCGTGAAGCATGGTGGTGGCAGCATCATGTGGTGGGGATGCTTTTCTTCAGCAGGGAAGCTGGTCAGAGTTGATGTGAAGATGGATGGAGCCAAATACAGGGCAATCTTAGAAGAAAACCTGTTAGAGTCTGCAGAAGACTTGGGACCGGGGCAGAGGTTCATCTTCCAGCAGGACAACGACCTGAAACATCCAGCCAGAGCTACAATGAAACGGTTCAGATCAAAGCATCTTCATGTGTTAGAATGGCCCAGTCACAGTCCAGACCCAAATCCAATGGAGAATCTGTGGCCAGACCTGAAAATTGCTGTTCCCAGACGCTCTCCATCCAATCTGACAGAGCTTGAGCGATTCTGCAAAGAAGAATGGGCAGAAATGTCCCTCTGCAAAGAGACATCCCCAAAAAGACTTGCAGCTGGAATTGCAGCACAAGGGGGTCCTACAAAGTACTGACTCCGGGGGGCATGAATACAAATGTTGCCACACTTTTCAGGTATTTGTCAAAACTTTTGAAAGCCATTTCTCATTTTCCTTCCACTTCACAATTATGTGCCACTTTGTGTTGGTGTATCACATCCAATCCCGATAGAATACATTTACGTTTGTGGTTGTAACATGACAACATGGGGAAATTTTCAAGGGGGAGGAAGACTTTTTAGGCACAGTATATTATACAAATGCAGACTGTTACTTTGTTAGCAGTGTTGTGCAGTGATTGTGCTTTACTGTTTCTCACAGTAAATGATACCAATAGGCTTTCATTGGAGCTAATTGGTTTTAACTCATCAGTGGCTCATCGGGGAGGCCAAGCACATGGCCCCATCTTTGAAACAGACTTTTAATGTATGGGCTCTACTGACTGGGAAGCAGATGGCAAGAGAGAAAACACATCAAGAAAAGAAAAAGGTCTATGTGACTATGTTCATCCGGTTTCCTCTCTACTGTCCTGTCTGGTTCTTCACGCCCAAGCCTCAAAATTACCATGATAGGTCAGGGTTTCTCAACCAGGGTTCCTCCAGAGGTTGCAAGGTGTTTCTTGAGCAATGAGAAAATTCTACTTATCAGATAAGTTCCCACTGACACCATTGATCTTTTTAGCTATCTACAAGGGGGTAATTGTCCCCAATGACTACACATGTAAGGAGAATTCATCCCACTGACCATCGCACTAGTGTATCATGAGTTGTAGACATAGTCATTCTTAGGTAGGGTTCCCTGAGACCGGAAAGTTATTTCTAGGGTTCCTCTCTTGAAAAGGTTTAGAAATCCTGATTTATGTAATCTTATGATGACAAGGATACACAATAGAGGTGGGTCTTTAAAAGAGAAGCAAACACAGGGTCTGTCCCAGAGCATTAAGTCACGAGACAATTTACATACACTCAAATCACAAGATGAATTTTTACCATGTGTAGGAACTCTAAGGCGTCATCTGCTATGTAGTCCCGAGAAGCTGGATAGAAGAGGGAGGAAGCTACCAATCATCAAAATCTTCCTCCAGCTTCCTATCAGCAGCTCCATCTTTGCCCATGAGTTCCTCAGAACACCAACATCAATGTAGCTCTTAGTTCCACAAAAACAAACATACCACCGTTGGATATCATTTACCAAAACCCTACCTTTATCCTACCTATTCTCCCTTGGTGTTAGATCTTCTAAACAAGTCCTCTATAGCCGTGAAGGTATTTCCCACTGATTTTGAGATGGTCCAGCCGCTGCCTCATACACATGGATAAAATGTTCACGTTATGTGACCAAAATACCACCAAAGACACTGTACATCGTTGAACAATCAGCTTTATAAAAGAAAAGACATTAGCTCATTAGAGCACATTGTGATGTGTGTGGGTAAAAATGGGTTTAATTGTACTAGTTTCCTGAGGAGCTGATGGGTAAGAAGATGGGTCTGCACAGGAACAAAATCTCAGTGGTCCCATGTGACTTTCTCACTTGCCTTTAAGGAGCTCCATCTCTTCCCATGGGCTCCTCAGAACACCAATTCCAACTTCTCCTTCCTGGCTCTGACATGGCAATACACATACAATATTCAGGGTGGGGCATAATTCCAAATAAGTGCCAATGTCAACCCTTCTGGTTCCTATGGTCTTCTGTGATTTTCTCCTAGGAGCTCCATCATCTCCCAGAGATTCCTCAGAGCACCAGTGACATCTCTTTGTCCACTAGATGTGCCACAGTAATAAGCACACAGGTCAGGGATGGGGCTTATTTAAACAAGGAGAGCCCACCCTTCCCTTTCTGATGGTTCCCTGTGACTATTTCCCTCCAGCTCCCTCTAAGGAGCTCCATCTTAAGTCTTGCTCAGGAGCTCCATATCTAACCATGGGTTCCTCGGCACACCAATGGCAAATTTTCCTTTCCTAGCACTGCCACAGTAACTAGTATACAGGTTACGGGGTGGGGAATCATTTAAAAAAACAGAGCCCACCATTCTCTTTCCCATGGGCTCCTGTGACTTTCTCCCAGGAGCTCCATATCTACCCATGGGTTTCTCAGAACACCAAAGCCAACTTTTCTCTTAATTTTAATATAGTATATAGCACAAAGGTTAAGAGTAGAGCATAATTTCTTCCAGAAGTTCCATCTTTCCCCATGGGTTCCCCAGAACGTTAGTGTCAGCTAGCTATCAGTGCAAACTCTTCCCTTTCCCACTGTCTCCTGTGACTTTCTCTGAGGAGCTCCATCTCTTCCCATGGGTTCTTCAGAACACCAGTGCCAACCTCTCTTCTCTTAGTTCTGCCATAGTATCAAGCATACATGTTTGGGGTTTGACATTATTAAAAAGGGGAGTGCCCACCCTTCTCTTTCTCAAGGTCTCCTGTGTGACCTTTTTACTTCTACGTCCCTCTCAGGAGCTCCATATCTACCCATGGGTTCCTTGGAACACCAATGGCAACTTTTCCTTTCCTAGCGCTGTCACAGTACCTAATATACTGGTTATGGGGTGGAGCATCATTTAAAAAAAAAGCAGTGCCTACCATTCCCTCTCTCATGGTCTCCTGGGTCTTTCTCCGAAGAGTTTAATCTCTTCCAATGGGTTCCTCAGAACACCAATGCCAACTTTTCTCCTAATTTTAATATAATAATCATAAAGAGTAGGGCATCATTCCCCCAAGGAGCGCCATCTTTCCCCATGGGTTCAACAGAACCCTAGTGTCACCTAGCTAGATGTATCAACCCTTCCCAAGCTCCATCTTGTCCCTTACATTCCTCAGAACACCAGTGCCAACTTCTCTTCTTTTACTTCGGCCACAAGAACAAGCATACAGGTCAGGGGTTTGGCATCAATAAAAAGGAGTGCCAACCCTTCTCTTTCTCAAGGTTTTCTGTGACTTTTTTCATCCTAAGTCCCTCTCAGGAGCTCCATATCTACCCATGGCTTCTTCGGCACACCAATGGCAACTTTTCCTTTCCTAGCGCTGCCATGGCATACAGGTTATAGGGTGGGGCATCATTTAAAAAATGCAGTGTCCACATTCCCTTTCTTGAGGTTTCCTCTGACTTTCTACCATAAGTTATCTCCTCTCATGGGTTCCTCAGAACACCAGTGCCAACTTTTCTCTTAGAGTAGGGCATGATTTCTCCCAGAAGTGCCATCTTTCTCCATGGGTTCATCAGAACACTAGTATCTCAGAGTTATCACCCACTGCTTCCATAGTGACAAGTATACAAGATGGGTGAGACTTAACTTTTATAGATCCTCTAAACAACCCTTGTCAACCCTTCCCGTCCTCTTTCAGCATTATGGAGGCTGAATAGGGTCAAGACCATCCAAGTCTATTCCAGCTGTTCCAGTCTGGTTCTGCTCAGCTAGAAAAAGGCTTCTCAGCACTATGGACCCTTTGATGGATGACCAGACTGGACCGCAGCATAAAAAAGTCCCCACAATCCGGGCACGTGTAGCGCCGCAAGCCTTTGTGAGTCTTCCTGTGGTTAACAAGGTGCGACTGTCTGATAAAATTGGCGCCGCATTCAGGGCAAGAAAAAGGCTCATTTTCCGCGTGGAACTTCTGGTGCATCACCAGGCTCTGCTTCTGAGCGTACTCTTTGCCGCACTCGGTGCATTTGTATGGCTTCTCGCCCGTGTGGAGCCGCTGGTGTCGCAGATAGTTCGCCTTCTGGATAAACTGTTTGCCGCACTCGGAGCAAGAATACGGCTTCTCCCCCGAATGGATACGCCGGTGGAGGACAAGGCTGGACTTGTGTTTGAAGAACCCACCACACTCAGAGCATGAAAATGGCTTCTCACCCGTCATAGTTCGGTGGTTGATGGTCAGGATATTTGGACCTGCCATAGATTTGGCACCCCACTCCGAGACATCATCTGATTTCCACATAGACAGGTAGTCTTTGGATTTGTTGTCATTTGCTGTCCTGTAGTCTTGAGAAGTCTTCTTCTGAAGGTCAACTGGAATACAGAAGCTCAGATAAATTCACATGTAAAGCTTTAATACACAAGATAAGAGTCCAGGAAGTCCCAATGAAAAAAAAAAAAAACTTTCCCAATTGTTTTACACCATTTTCAGTTTTAAGGAGATTTTTTAGACAATGGACAATTATCTATAACAACTTCAGCCCCCTTCATGACCAGGCCCGCTTTTTGCTATTTAGCACTGCGCTATTTGAACTGGTAATTGCGCAGTCATGCAATGCTGTACCCAAAAGAAATTTATATCATATTTTTTTTCACTCAAACAGAGCTTATGTTTGGTGGTATTTGATCACTACTGGGATTTTAATTTTTTATAAAAATAAATAAAATTTTTTATATATATATATATATATTATATATATATATATATATATATATATATATATATATATATATATATATTGTGACAGTGTGGCGATCTGTAACCCTGGATTCTCAACAAGGCAGGTTGAGGGGCTCCAGGGTAAGTGTTTGATATGGAGGAAAGTGGCTTTTCACTTTCCTCCTGTGTTTGTAAGGTCTGTTTTGGGATCTGGAGCCTGGAGATTTCAAAGAGATCTGGGAGGGATGAAATCTCCAATCCTGGGACCAGGTTTTGGGATAGGCCAGGAGACTGATTGCACAGGTGTGTGCAGGCCTTTAGAGAGAGTCAGGACCAGGGTTCTGGGCTCCACCCCGGCAGCTAGGAGTCAGCAGGGCTCCACCCCGGCAGCTAGGAGAGTCAGCAGGGCTCCACCCCGGCAGCTAGGAGTCAGGTGGGCTTCACCTAGGGGAGGTGGAAGCCAAAAGCAGCAAGGGGCTGCTAGAGACTAGCTGTGTGCTAGTGGCCAGCGGTGTGCAAGAGCTGTGTCTTGAAGAAGTCTGCAGGAGGCAGACATCAAGCGGAGTATAAGCCAGGAGGCTGAGTTTTGTTTTGTGTGATGGTGGATACCCCTGCGTGGGAACCTCTTATGTTATTGAACTGTTTCATTTAAATAAAAGTGTGCTAAAAAGGCCCTTAAAGAAAGCGAGTAGCTGTGTGCGTTTAAAAGCTCTACCACTTTGAAGCGAGTTCCCACATATGGTGGAGGATGCGGGCAGAATTGGAGATCCCTGCAAAAGTAAGTTCATCAGTTATATATGAACTGAGTTTCTGTGCAATGGACAGCACTATCTGTGTGTGCAGGTGAGGAGAACCTGCTAGTGAAAAGGACTTTGCCTTAAAGAGACAGTGTTCCATGGTGTTGCTGAACTGTGTAACACACTGCTGTGTGCATGACTGCAAAGATGGGGCGGTCAAACCAGAAAAAGGAGGCAATGTTTGCTGAAGCGAGAGATAGAGCCCTGTGGCTAGGGGGTTATATACCGCATGCCCAGCCAAGCCCGGAAATTTAGATGTGGGTGAGTCTGCTGTGGACTGGTGCAAGCAGCACCTGGCAGCATTGAACCAACCTAAAGAGGAAAGCAAGCCAACCTTCAGTGCAGGAGAGAGCTGCAGGATGTCTGTACCTGGGAGAGGGGTGTTGTTGCCCCCTGGCAACGCTGCTGCAGTTAAACCAGTAGCTGTTGTGAAAAATGTGAATGTGTCACGGCTTGAGAGTTGGTCCAGCAGAGAGAAGCCTATGCTATGTGCAAGGAGAGGGGCTGACCAGAGGCCAGGATCAAGAGTGAAGGCCCATAGCAACACAGAGGAGGCCAGTCGGGCTGTCTGTGTACGGGGGGCTATGTCATATAAGGATCATGGCAAGTGGCATCAAGAGGAGCCAATACAGCGTGTTGGAAAGAGCCAGCAAAGTTCTGCTTGGAGAGTGCAATCTCCCATGGTGACCGGAGAAAAAGTAGTGCCTGGAAGGAGGAGCTGCATTGAAGATGTGGCTCAGTGTCCCAACAAAGATAAGAGTGGAAATGTACCATGCCTGGAATGTGGTCAGTGGGGGCATGGGATCTTTTCCTGTCCCAGACTCTGGAATACCGCTGATATTGGGCAAATATCTACAACTTCAAGCCCAGAGTCTTGTTTTAAAATGTCAGCAGCCACCTCTGGCAACAGGGAGGAAGTTCCTGTTGGGCCTGCAGGGGGTGCCAGAGAGTCCATGGAGCCTATGGAGGCATCTGTTACTTCAACTTGGGGCAAGGGAAAAGTTGCCAAGGAAAGTGCAGTTGAGGATGCGTTTATGAGACAACGCACTCAAATGAAGATGGTGATACCTACTACTGTGGTGGGTAAGACTGTGTGTGATAAAACCATGGCTGGGACTGTCATGTTGAGAAGGACTGGTTATGAGACTGTCCATTCTGATGTAGGAGTGACCCCAGTTAGTTGGGCCACTGAATGTGCTTTTGAGAGTGACTTTTCCCTGTGCAGTGCCTTGTACAGTGGGGAGTTAGGGGTTAAAGTTAAACCTGTGCCTGGTTCTCAAAAAGCAAGTGATGTCACTAATGTGTGCCAGTCACAGGTTGGTAGTGGGATAGAACAGCCCACAAGAGCTAAAAATGCTGATGTTGATGTGAAATGTTCTGCTGTTGGGAAAACCCTGAGCTCTTGCAGTGCAAAAGCTATAAAGATGGGTCGTTTCCCATAGCAACTGGTGGTAAGACAGCACAGGTGTCCTTAGACATCTCCAGGGGTCTCCGTGTATTGGAGCCGGAGGTTGCCCTGGACAACTGCGATGTCACTCTGGTGGAGCAGAGTGGAACTGCACCTTGTAATAGGAGTGTGTTGGTGCAGTCTAACAATACTGAAAGTGTTCAGGTGAACAGCGGGTTAATGCAGCCTGGGAAAAATGCAAGTGTGTGTGTAATTCAGGAAGTATCCCCAGAGCAAAGTGGTGGATGTGAGGTATTGCAACCTGCAGTGGGAAAACAGGTGTTACCCAAGTCAGACGTGATCCAGAGTGATTTGTGCAATGGATCTGCAACATAAGCCCGTCTATTCTTGTGTGTCTCCTTGGGCGGATGGATCGGTGCTGAGGAGCACTGGTGAATTGAGCACATATACAATGGATTGGGATAGTTGGGGTAAAAGGCTAATCTCGTTGATAGATGAGGCTTTTATGCAAAAAAATAAGGTGGACACTGTTTCTGCTGTGCCAGCAGGAGGATCTATAGAACAGCCTATGGATAAGGGCGTGTATACAGCAGAGAATTTGTCTGTGACCCACAAAAGTGATGTTGGCATGGAGTGTCAAAAATGATGTTGTCACTGGGAATGATCAGGGGCAGCTTGTGGATACTGAGTCTGAAATGTTGAGAGTGAGCCCAGCACATGGCAGCGCTCTGGTGGAGCACCAGGCTGTGGTTGTCTCCAGCTTGGAGAAGGTCCCTTTAAAAATTTCAACTTCTCAAGTCTCAGCAGGTGAGTCTCTCAGCGTTCCCAGTGCCCTAAATATGGTCAGGAAGGTCTTAGGTTTAGAGTCAAGTGGTTGGGTTGTATCCAAAGTATTAAAGGAGATGCTTGAACTTTGGAATGTACAACCAATGTATACTGGGGTGTCTCCTCCACAGTCAGATGGTCTGGTACTGCGGAGTACCACTAGGTGGAGCACCAAATGGCTGGCTGTACAGATCAAATGGGAACAAGAAAGTTGTTTGTTTCGGAATTTGTTGATGGTGTTAAAAGTTGTATCAGGGTACGCCACTGGATTACCTGTAAATGTGATATATGAGAAATGTTTTGGAGAAATGGAAAAAGAGTCAAAAAAGGTTTTACCTCCTAACAGCCAGGTGGGAAGCATTTCTGCTGCTATGGTCCAGGATGGTGCTGGTCAGTTGTCAGTGAAGGGTGTGTTGACTGCACCAGTGGACAAACCACATGAGATGGAAGGGCCGAGCATGGACCAGAGAACAGCAGAGATCCTGACCAGGGCTCAAACGGGATATGCATAAAGAAATCAGGGTCATTGGGCCAAAAAGAGGTTTAGGTAGCAGGTCTGATGAGACATCTGACATACAGGGACAAATGGTATCTGAAAACTGGCAAAATGGATCAGAAGAGAGCTCATCTGTACAGGATTTGTATACAGATACAAGTGGTGTAGAAAAAGTTAAAATGGTTGGACAGCCGCCTGCAGATTGCATGACGCCAGGTGAAGTGGCATTTTGTGAGGTTCACGTGGGTGATGGCTGCCCTATGGTGTGTGTGCCATCTACAGACACTGTCCTAACTAATGCTGGAAAATGTATTGAAAGGTGTAATATTGACTGGAATATAACTGTTCATGGTAAACTGAATACTGTGGTAATGAGTCATGCAGGTTTGATAGCTAAAGGTACAAGAAATCAGGGGGGTGGTCCTGGTACAAATACAGTAGAAATAGTTCCCCTACAGCCTTGGGACAGGAATACTGAGAAAGGTATTAGGAAACCTGATCACCTGAAGCAAAGGGGCAGAAAGGTCGATAGAAAGGCCAGGGGGACCCTGTTAAGATCTCAGGAGAGAAAGTGTTTATGGAAATGCACCCGGAAAAAGAATAGGGAAGGTCTGAGTAGAGCCCATAGCAGAGTGACAATGAGGCTTGGGGAGAGACACCAAAGGAGTCATTGGGTAGAGTTCCCCTTTAGGAAAGGTAAGGTCAGACCAGATTGGACCCCTGTAAGTGAGAGCTGGCACAGAGGGTGCCAGAAGATATAAGTTGTGTGTACTGCCCCCTACGGGATCAAAACAAAGGGGGGGGATATGTGACAGTGTGGCGATCTGTAACCCTGGATTCTCAACAAGGCAGGTTGAGGGGCTCCAGGGTAAGTGTTTGATATGGAGGAAAGTGGCTTTTCACTTTCCTCCTGTGTTTGTAAGGTCTGTTTTGGGATCTGGAGCCTGGAGATTTCAAAGAGATCTGGGAGGGATGAAATCTCCAATCCTGGGACCAGGTTTTGGGATAGGCCAGGAGACTGATTGCACAGGTGTGTGCAGGCCTTTAGAGAGAGTCAGGACCAGGGTTCTGGGCTCCACCCCAGCAGCTAGGAGTCAGCAGGGCTCCACCCCGGCAGCTAGGAGTCAG